TTAAGTTAACGTAGTTAACGTACGTACGTACGTACGTACGTTACTTTTACTTTATTTAGTTATTACTTACTACTACTTACTCGTACTCTACTTACTTCTTCTTCTATATATATATATATATATATATATATATATATATATATATAGAAAAAAGCTGGGATTAGCCCTCTAGCTCATATGAATATATGAGCCTGATCTGACGGTCACGGATGTCCAGTAGTGTTTGAATTTTAATTTTTTTTCTACAAATCCAAATCACTTGAAATTTTAGGAGTGTGTTCATCAAAAATAGTTTAATCTTCGAAAAATATCAAGAAACTATTTTACATGAAATAAATTGATCAAAATACCCCCGAAAAGTTTTCGGGGTATTTTGGTCATTTATTTCGAGAATAATTTTTTTCTTATATTTTTATTAGGTGCACCTTGATGAGAAGAACACACGTCTAAAATTTCAAGTGATTTGGATTTGTAGAAAAAAATTAAACTTCAAACACGAAATGAGGTCGTGACCGTCAGATCAGCCCAAATTCAAATCTGGGCCGTTAAGCTCATATGTTCATATGAGCTAGTGGGCTAATCTCCGCTTTTTCCTATATATATATATATATATATATTCTTTTTTTAATGATTTCCTGAACAGAAACCATGAAAATCCTTATTTAGTTCTTTGAAGAACTGTAGCAAATGAAGTTGTGATGGCTACGGCAGAAGCGAGGGCTGTGTGGCAGCGAACGGCAAATCGTTACTTTGTTCAAGAAGATGCCAAGAGAGCTCCAAAGTTAGCATGTTGCCCTTCACCATCATGCTCAAAGACTCAATCTGAAACCGGCCATGGTGATCATGGAAACGGGCCAGACCATTCTTCTGCAATTCCTGTACCCCTTAATTGGAATCCCACCAACATGAATCTTTCCCCTGAATCTAAGTGGTGGCTTCAGCTGCAACCCAACTTTGGAAATCATAAGGACTTCACGTATGAACAAATCAAAGCCTTGGAGGCTGAGCTCGACGTCATAGAAACTGGGCATGATACCCCAAGTTCCAAACTTGATGATGAGACACAGGAAACTGAAGATGGTCATGGTGGGCTGTATAAGAAACCTCACTATTCTTTGGAAACGACTTTTAGGGTTTCAACTGCCTGTTTGAAGCATGATTGTGAGCTAAGAATGGAAGAACTCAAAGCAGTTCATATGAAACAGTTGCTGAAGAATGAAGTGGAGGCTGGTGGCTATCTTAAATCTGAATTTGGTGATTATTGGTATGGCGACTCAAAGGTTATGGATATGGAGCCAAGTGACCTACTTACTTCAGAGAGATCAGAGAAGGTGTCAGCTGATTATGGGGCACCTTGGATGTGTGAGAAAACAGGACCATGGTGGCATATTACTGATAAACATGAATTGGAGACCTTGGTAGAGCAGAAGACATCTCAACATGTTGAGAATTGTGATCTTCCACGACCACATCCCATGCAAATAAAGAAGGGCCCATTTTCTGGTTTTGAAAGTTCTGAGCATGAGGAGATAGCGTCCACATTGTTTGAGCATAAATTTTCTTCTTCTGATTGCTACCCTACAGAGCTTTCTCAGTTTGATTCTGCTAGTGGAAGCTTGGGCAGGACTCAACAAGGCCCACTCCATGATTCTATGAAGACATTCAGGTAATGTTCTAAAAAGTATCCCAAGTGGTAATACATGGTAATACATGGTTAAGGAATAAAAAAGCACAAATCAGTGACCCTTGTTTCTTGGACTGGTGATTATCAAAGTGTATTGCCTTACAGAAGGCGTACTGCTTGTATTTTGTACAACCTGTAAGAATACATTCAGAAAAAGAAAATGATATAGGACATGATATCTAATGCCTTCTCTGACTGGTTTTCTTCATCTTTGGTTTTACAGCATGTCCTTTTTTGCTTGGTATTTGTCAATAAAAGCACCTTTTTCATTTTTCAGTTGTGAGAACAATAAGAAGGAAACATATGAAATTAGCCGACTCAGCTTTGAGAGTGAAGCAAGCAAGGCCCAACTCTTAGAAGCTCTTTGCCACTCTCAAACCCGGGCAAGAGAAGCTGAGAAAGCTGCCCAGAAAGCCAATTCTGAGAAGGAACACATTATAAAGCTCTTCTTTAAACAAGCATCTCACCTGTTTGCTTACAAGCAATGGCTTCAGCTCTTACAGTTAGAGACCCTTTACTTGCAACTCAAGGCAAAGGAGCAGCTTCTTCCTGTCTTGCCATGGAAGCCTAAAGAAGACAAGCAGTGGAGGCAGAAGAAGAAAAAGAGAAAGATTGGTCATCACATATATGATGCGAGCACATTAGCTTTTGCAGTTGCTGTTGGGTTGAGCCTTGCAGGTGCCGGATTGTTTTTGGGCTGGACCATGGGTTGGTTGCTCCCTACTTTTTAATCATTATTTGCAATATGTATGTATATATATGTATGTATGCATGCATGTGTATATGTGTATATATATATATGTCTCTAATGTGTTTCTCTGGTTTCTGTTTGATGTATGGGTTGTGGGTTGTGTATATTAATTTTCGGATTTGTATATATTTGGATGGGAGCCCATGGAATTGGATTGAAGTGGTAGGATTATTTGATGATGACGGCTTTTTGTGAGGAGGGCAACACAGCGATTGCATTATGTGTTCTTTGATTTTTCATGAGATTCATGTGCGATTGATTTGCATGTCTTTGGCTCCAATTAGTGAAATTTGTTTGATTCTAGAAAGATAATTGAGGGAAACCCCAAAATCAGAATATATATTTTTTGTGTGGTAGTTCCATTTGGAATTAAGTTGACATTATCTGCTACTGTCATGGAAAGTCCAGTAAAATTCATAGGGAAAATGGCCTGTTAATTAGGGAGGACATTATGGCTATGCCTCACTAGTCAGCACATTTGTCCAATCACATTTGTCCAGCGAGAATTGGATGGTGGAGATTGGACTCATAGAGGCAGACGGCAGATATCAGCTCCCAGCCTTTCACAATGCGGGGTGCTTCCTACTAATCACATTATGATTAGTACTCCCAAAATGATAAGGTTTATAATGTCAGGTGCCTAAATAGTGGCCGATTATGTGATTAATTTATACCAGGGTCGAAAATTACAGAATCAGGATTCAGGATGCCGATTTGGATGGCCAATCTGGTGAATATGCTTTTTTTTAATTCCCCGAGAAAATGGCTCTAACCCGTTTAGAATTGTAATGTTTTGGAAGATAATAGTTATTTGTGTTTAAAGTTTAAACTTTAAAGTATAGATTAAAACGATTTGTTAACTGATTGATTCAAACATGAAGGGATTTGATCCTAAAAGTTTGTAGTAGGGAGCTTGTAGATCAACGAGCGTAGATTAAAAAGCAACAAATTTAGGAGAAAATAGAAGAAAACGAGGGTGATAAAAATGGCAGAATAGGTTTTGAAGAAAGAGAAAATAACCCAAATTTTGAGCTTTTGGTTCTGAGATTAGGGGGTTTGATCCAAAATTTTATGTTTTGAGTAGTTTAAATCAATGAGAGAAAAGCAAAATGAGAATTCTTTTTTTTAAAAAAATCAGATGTGAAACTGGAGGGAAATCTAGCTTTGTTATAAAAAAATGGACAAAAAGAACTCCAAATTTGATATTGAAATTTAAAAGAACTTATGCACAAATATTTGTCAGGATTGCCGTTGATAATAAAGATATGAACAATTTGAAACAAACTTGATGGAATTTGATGAAAGTAAAACTGGTTCTCAGTTTTGTAAAGGAGCCAGTATGGTAAATGAGCAACCTTGGGTCAAACAGGATGATTCCCAACCGACATGTTCCGGCATTTATAAAGACAAAATGCCGTTATGCTACTATTGAATATTTATTTGCTGCTAAAATATCTGGTTTCGGATATTCTTATTTTGTGTCCTTGAATAATTAGCCGAATAAACAAGCAGATGTTTGATTATAGATAAATGACTATCAGGGCTGGCATTTAGTTTTTATTCAAATTGAATCAGAGTCCAAGTGAGAGTTTGCCAGCAGCCTTTTGTTTCGATTTGAAGTCCTTTTGGATCACACTTATTATCCTGTTCCTTATGAAGTCAAGATGTTGTGATACATTGGGACGCCCCTTCTTATCCTGGTACTATATAGTTTGTGTCCCACATAAAGGATTGGATTTCTTCAACTTTGGACAAAATTTCAGGAAGAAATCACATCCATAATTCAGAGAAATGTACGCTAAGACAGAAAATCAAAGAGAGGGGAAATCTCGATCTAAATGGGATTATATACCATGAGAGCATTTATATTTGTAACGAGGTCATTTTCTTTTAATGTAACAATGAGGTCACCATTGTTTGCCGTGGTCGCTACTCAACAACATTGTTGAAAAAATACAACTCGGACATGCTTGAGTTACTCGGGCTCTAGCAGCCTGCTGAAACGCCCTTTTGCTTGCCTGGGGTACTGTTCCCAACTGTCGTGAGCTTGGCTAAACCTGTCAAGTTCGTGATACTCTTTGTTGGGATCCATGTAGGAAAAATCGAACCAGAATGGTTAACTGGGTATGAGGCTGGAAGCGGTTCAACTAGCCTAACCAGGCAAGTCCCGGGCAATAAAAAACGTGGTAAAAAATATTAAATAAAATAAAATATAAAATATATATTTAAAGTATGGTTAAGCAAAGCACATCCAAATGAAATTGAAAATTAATCAAAAAATAGATTTTAAACATTCAATATATACCCAGGTGTATTTTTGAAATTTTTAAAATGGGAAAAATGTTAAAATAAGTATTAATGGGGCCAAAACAATTTTCAATATTTTTGAAAATAAATGAAAAACATTAAAAAAATACATTACAAACAAAATCCCTTATTTTTTTGGATTTTATATAGCTTTTTTTAATGTTTTTTTTAATGTTTTTTTGGGATTTTATATAGTTTTTTTTAATGTTTTTTTTAAATATCCCAATGGTTCACCAAAACCAGAACCGGCTAGTTCCAATATAACCAAATGGCTAAAATTTGATCCGGCCAATTCCAATATAACCAAACGGATAAAATTTGAACCGCCCTATTTCCCTACTATGGTTGGGATACAAAACCGGGTAATAAAGGGTCGCTATAAATCGAAACCCTTTTTTGTCTTTTTTTTTTCATTTAGCCATCGACTACGCTCCCAATTGGTCTGACTTTTGAGATCTAGGGGTTGTGTTTTTACTCTCTTACTGCTTAAAACGATCGGAAAAAATGTAGTATTTCGGATTTTGAGTTCATGATTTTCAAACTAGGGTATCGCCGAATATTGAAAACTTGCTGTTCGCGACCGTAGCTTGGTCTTTTTTAAAATTGGTTCTCTAAGCCTATTTTGAGTACTCTTATCGAATCATAGGCATAGTTTAACCACTCAAATTTTTGCATTAGTGGGATTTTGAACACTATTATTTTATTGAAAATTTCATGAAGACCGAAGAGATCCAAACTCGAATATGAAATCTAGTTTAGGCCTAGTTTGGATATCAAAGAAAAAAATATTCACATTGAAAAAAAAATACAAATTTTTCCTCCTCAATTGAGAAATATTATTGTTTTATTTTATTATGTTGGTTTATTATGTTGGTAGACTTTTTGGATGTCCATTAAAATATGAGAATAAAATTTTATTTACTAAATATGTCTGTTTGGATGCGTTGCAATAAATTCTAAATTCATATTTTTATTTTTCTTTTTCTCATTACATAAATTTTTTTTGACCAACCTAAAATAGCATGCATTTTGTATGCCTTTGACTAGAATCACATGCCTTTAAACATTATAAAACAGTGAAATAATGTGCTTGAGATCGCATGGTTTCAACATGTAAGACTTTAGAATTGCATGTTTTAATTATGATCAACCTTTTCTTTTATTGTGCTATTAAAACCTTCCAAATATACTTTCACATAACTTCCAATAAATATCAAATTTGGAAACCAATTTCAAAAACTAAAAAAAAAAAAGTTGAAGAAACCATTGAAAAAGATATATTAAGCTATTGGAGGAGATTGAAGACATTAAATCAAGCACTATTTTTATTAGACTACTATTGTGGTTAAATTGTATAATTTTATTGTTTAAAATTTATTATTTTTTGGATTTTATACTACATTTTTCGTGATAGTTGGATTGTATTTCTTTAGTTATTTCGATTTTTGGTATTTGATGAACTTTTCCCAAATGTTGGAGTTGTCGATTTGCAAGAAGTAGAAAGATTGTAGGATCAACTTCGATAATTAAATTATCAAATAATTTTAGCATGTCTATGCCCATACAAACACATTTTTGTATGTTTTATCAATTTTTAAGTCCTTTTTTAAAAATTCTTGAGTTTTTAATTATTATAATTTGTATTATTTTTATTTAATAATTTTCTAGCAACTTGTTTAACTAGAGTTGGACTTGGCGAGTCTTTTGGAGTTGGTTAGAAAGTAAGAATTATATATTCTAATTAGAGAATGGTATACTAATAGTATTAAGTTATAGGTGTAAACCAGATTTGAAATATTCAATTTTATATTAAAAAATACATATAAATTAAATAAAGTAAATAAGTATTAAATGAATGTATAAATATAAAAGAAAGGAAAGTCTATTTGAAGTGAAATTTTTGAATGAGGGTAAGAAATAAGAAGAGAATGGAAGTACAAATATAGCTTTAATTGATCCAAATTCATAAAAATCTAAAGAGGGAGGAGATGAAGAAAAGATACATATTCAATCTTAATAAAAAAAAAACACTTTTTACTTTCATATGAACTCTATTCTTTTACTTTTAAGTCCTGGATTGAGTTTGAACTTTTACCACTCCATGAAACCATCTCGCCCTTTTCTCTCCCTATCCACAAACAACAAGAGTTTATCCGTTCTCTATTAAAAGTCCAATGGTCTCCCTCCTGTCCCCATTGAGACACAAGGATGCCCACATTTGTCATCTAGGGTATTGGTACCCATAGGGCTAGCCCCGAACGGGTCAAAAAGGTAGCCCCGAACGGGTCAAAAAGGATTGAGATGGTTAAATATAAAGAAAATTGTTTTGTACCGGTTGGATCGTATTTTTATAATATGTGATCTTTAAATATAAAGCATTTATGAATGTAAATTGGTGATGCATCAAAAAAACAATTGAAATTAACTGTCTAAATGTTTTTTTTCATAAAATCATTATATATTCATGATATGTATGTTAGAGATTACATATCCTTATAAATTGGAGCCGATAATCTTATCTCAAAAATAGATTTTTAATAGTAGACTTATTTCTACCTGGCCGTATAGAAATTGTGTCCTAAATATAATCCTAAAAGAAAAAGTAAAAAAAAGAGCAGGTCTGATTCAAGTTAGCCCTATTATGGCCCTTGGCCCAATCTCAGCATGACCTAACCCTCAAACCTGGCCTAGCCTAGCTTAGCCTAGCTCTCCGGTCCTTGCTGCCCTAGGCCTAGGGCGACTTGGCTCGTTTCGTTCCCTGCATATGCAACCGTTCACTCGACATTACATCATGAAGAATTAAAAAGTCGAAAAAAAGTGCACCTTTCACCGACGCTAATTGAATCATAGCATAGCGGTCAAAGCACCTCATGTTTTGTCACATGACATTAAATTTAAAGTTTACTTCGAATGAGAAAAGGAAAGTCAACAATTCCCGTCCTCCCCCGTTGCTAATCCATCCCAAGTTCTGGTCCGTCACCTACGTGTAATTTGAGGCCATTCCTTATCACGTGCCAATAATTAACCAATAGCCTAATAGGCACGTGGACGTCTGAGAGCCCCGACCAGTTCGGAGCCGGCCTTTCACATGGCCAGACCCCCTCCCTCTTTCTGCTTCTCTTCCCTCTCTCATATCTCCATTTGTGTAGGTTGGATTACTCTCCTTTCTTTTCCTCTAAACTCCTCTGTATATTTACTCTCCTTTCTTTCCCTCTAAACTCCTCTGTATATTTACTCTCCTTTCTTTCCCTCTAAACTCCTCTGTATATTTACTCTCTTTTCTCTCTCTCAATTCCTCTGTATCTTTGGCTTGGGCGTGAGGGATAGAAGGGGAATAGAGAGATGCCTTATTGTGAGGTTCGGAAATGCAAAAGGAAAGATGAGGTTGTGAAGCTATTTTATACGACGTATGGACATGGCAATAGAAAAGTCCTATTTATTATAGGTATTGAACGTTCTTTCACATCTCTCGCACCGATTTTCATCTCTCTTTTTATTCCCTAATCTTCATCATTCTCATTATCTTCCCTGCGTCTCCCTCATTTCATTTTTAGAATCCCTGAACGAATTTTGGGAACCCTTTTTGAGAATCTTTTCTTTTAAGAATGTAAAAGGAATTTTGGGAATCATTTTAGAATTTTTTGTTTAAAGAATCTCAAAGAATTTTGGGAACCATTTCAGAATCTTTTATTTGTTATATTTAATTATGTATAAATGATTTGCAGGTTTAGCAGGAACCCATGAATCATGGGGTCCTCAAATCAGAGGGCTTACCAACAGTGATATGTCTCATCAAAAAGATGAGGAAGAGGATGTTCGTGCTTTAGCCACTTTGGCTATGGGTCAAGAAAGCATAGACAAAGATGAGATTGATGATAATGGTGAAAGTGGCATTCAGGTCTGTGCTTTTGATAATCGTGGCATGGGTCGAAGCTCTGTGCCTAAGAAGAAATCAGAATATACGTGAGTTGTTTCTTTCTCTCGTAACATATTAAGAAATGGATCGAGCTCTATTTGTGATTTTTTGAACTGTTATAAAATGATTTTATGATAAGGATGTTCTAAGATTTAGCAGAGCAATTGATATCCCCATAATTTTCAAATTATTGGTGTCAGGACAACAATCATGGCAAAGGATGCCTTAGCTGTAATGGATTCTTTAGGTTGGCAAAGAGCTCATATATTCGGGCACTCAATGGGTGAGCAAGAATAGTCTGTTGTTGTGTTAATAGCTACATATGCTAGAGCTAGAGGGAGTGGTTTCGATTGTGATCCTTCTAATTGATTTTTCAACATCTTTCTACTTTCCTGCCTTTATATTTTTCTTGATTTTGAATGGCGTCAGAACAGGGGCTATGATAGCATGTAAACTGGCATCTATTGCACCCAACCGAGTATTGTCGCTCGCATTACTTAATGCAACTGGAGGCGGCTATGAATGTTTCCCCAAGGTATCCTCACCTATTTGTGTTTCAGATCATTTACTTTTGTTGGACTCTTTCTCTCGCTAGATTTTATGTTTCAGATCATTTACTTTTGTTAGACTCTTTCTCTCACTAGATTTTATGTTCCTGCTTTTTAAGTGTACATGCATCTGGCACATTGCACTTGGTTAAGTAGTTCTTAGTTTTGGATTGCATTTGAGTTCCTGGTTCTGTTAGAACGTAATGCCTCATGAGCACCGATTTGCTCATTTTCCTAATCCCTTTCCTTATGGTTCAGTTTGAGTTGTTCACATAAGTTACATCTAATCCAAACTAGGTCATATTAAGATGCTTCTTTAAATTGGACTTTGAACTGCACTAATTAGAGCTTCGATGCATATGGACTTTGAACATGCACTAAGTAGAGCTTTGATGCATAATGGAGTGATTTTATTTGAATTAGGAAAGTTGGGAGCTTTCATAATATGCATCACGGAGAAAGAGCTAAAGACCTGCATAAGGTCTGTATTGAAGTATAAATTCTTTTGGGAGAAAATTAGTATAATTCTTTTGGGAGAAAATTATTAATCAACGCATTTTTTATTTTTATTGTTTTTTGTTTTGAAGAAACAAATTATTTAAGTTAATAGGATTCCCTAATTCTTCAGGTTATCTCTGTATCCCAAAGGGGTCTTCCATTTGCGATTTTTATTGCACTTCCTCCTTTTACAATTTTGTATTTCATTGACTCGGTGATGCAGAATAACATCCCACACTTTAAAACATTGCTGCCATTGGTAGAGTTTTGCTTTCGATAATGTGAAAGTCCCTGAACAACTTGTGCTGGTCTTTTTCATTAACAACCAAAACATTATTGTCTTGTTGCAACTTCATAAGGAACTTCTCTCTCGAACTCGTCGGCATCCTAATCTATTGTAAGAGCAGGTAAAACATTTAAATGGCAGCTGAATTTTCTCAACCTGCAGATCTGAACAGAGCTACATTAATAAAATATTTAAGATCAAATAAACAAGGTAGTAACCACTATTTATTAAGGCTTGGAAAACCATCTTCGAACCTCAAATCGAAGAGCATCTGCTGCTTTTGTCTCCCCATAAGATCAATGGGCTTCTATTTTTAAGAATTGGTCCACCTCCATAATTCTTAGTAATTCTTCACAACCTCCCCTGGTGCCAGACCTTGCTTTCAAGTTATCCAACGCTGTCATAATGATGTCACATCCGCCTTCAAGAAAATATAACCATCCACCTTGCCAATCAATGTTGAAGCAAGAATGAATGGAAATATGAAGCATCCAACAAACACTGGAATGGCCTTGAGAATATCACTAAATAGGATACAAGGAAACTTGGTGATAACTTTTGACATACATCCGTTTGATTCTCACCGCTGGAAGAAATGGTGACCTGTATGAAATCTAAGTGATTACCTTTTGAAAAAAGTATTACTTTCATCTTCCGAGATTATTCGTCCATTTGAGATATCCGGCAACAAATAACCTTGTGTTACATATTTTATTGATGTGCACTAAAAATATTTATGTTTTCTATTACATGTTAGGAGTTGCTTGGTGATTTGTCTTATCTATTGCAATTTTTCATCGAAAGGATCCATTAAAAATATTTAAACCATCTTGTTTTTAATGTTGCTTATGTAGATTGATCGCCAAACAATATCATTAGCAATTCGTTTCTTAAGGGCAAAAACACCAGAAGAAAGAGCAGCTGTTGACTTGGATACTCATTACTCAAAGGTTTGTTGTGACTAATTCACATTTGAAATTCACTTGTTTGCTGAAATAATGAAATATCTGCAATAGCTATTCATTTTTCTATGTTTCTCTCTGAGTCGAATAGTAGACATTTATGAATCTAATAATACATGAAAAAAAGCTTCATATGGATTAACTAATTAAGAACACAAAATTTCTATAAATGTTTTCTTATTTGCAATCATTAATAAAAAAAAAGTGTGTATAGGAGGTATAAACGTGTCTAATCAGAAAGGTTTGCCATCTTTACATTCTTTCCCAGGGAAATATTTGATTACCAAATTCTGTAGAATGTATCCCTCATGGAAAATGCTACATGATAGTGGTCATCTACTAATTAACCTACTAGAACAAAATAACATATTGGTGCTTGCAGCAGCATGTACTCAAATGATTGACTTCTCACAACTAGTAGAATCATGTATGTTGCATGTAGAAATGAAATAAGCAATCACATAAATAATTGCGTAAATATGCAATCAGGAGTATGTAGATATGTGACAAGCATTTATGTAAGAAAAAAATTTATGCAGAGCCGAGGCTCTAAACAATCAAATTAGAGCCCACCTCAAAAATTTTACTAGAAGAGGTTGTTTTGATGTTCAGATATCCTCAAATTGATCATCTTGACATCAAGATGCATGGATATGAGAAAAAAATGGATTTCTAGTTTTGGAAATAGTGCATCTTGTAAACGCATTTTTGGATCATCAATTTTCAAGATTTTCAAGTTTTCATAGATTTGCTCGATCTAAACTCTTTTTGAAGCTTTAAATTTTATGATTAAAGATGAAAATATATTTTAAGGCTATCACAAAGATTTCTAGTATTGAAACCACATTTCTCGACTCTATTTGAAGGTGCGTTTCACTTTGGTTGTTTAGAGCTTCGGCTCTATACAAACTGCACCCTTTATGTAAATAATTTCGTAAATATGCAATGGAATAGTATATTGATATGCATTTAAGTGATCCATTAAATAGTTGCATGATTTTCCAATGGGAAAGTGCATTACATGTAACTTATTCATAATATTTGTCTATGATTCTAATTATATTTACATAATTATTTTAATATTTATTATAATATTACGATCATATTATTAATGTTGATTCTAATATTTCTATAATAAAACAGTTAATTATAATAATTTATTATAATAATTTAAATTGTTATCTTATATTATAGCATGAATTACTATATTAATATTAATAAAATTGTAGTAAGTATAAGTGCATATTGGAATATTTATAATTAGAAACATACAATTATGATATTCATGAAAATATCATAATTACTTTGTTATTACTTTATTAGTAATATGTTATAACTACTAAAGACACCCTCAGGTCAAATTGGTTGTTAATTCTTTTTATTTTAAATTTATATATAAATTTTAATATAGTTATATATTTAATATCACATGTAGTTTTAAAGAATTTGAGTTTTTAAAGTTATGGTCATAAAATTTCTTTCGTTTGAAATAAATATTAAAAAATAACATGCATGTGGCATTTTATTTTGTAGAAGATTGTTTTTCTATTACATACTTTATTTATATGTGATTAGGCACCATGCTTTGAATGTGAATAGTCCTTCATAGATGCGCCATATAAATGCTTTATTCTAAATACCATTTGAAGTTCAAGAACCATTTGAACTTGGATGAGAATGTTCAAGAATCATTTGAACTTGGATAGGAATTAATTGTAATATTTTTCCTTTCAAATTAGAAAATTGGAAGAGATTTTAAAGAAAGAGAGTGTAAGGATTTAGAGATTGCCATTAGTTTTAACTTCAACATGAAATATTGGAGGATACTTAATTCTAAGTATAATTCTAAGTATACTTGAAATCATATGGTAAAAAAAAACTACAATTTATCCTCTTTAATATCTTATCGCATAAACCTAGTTCGTATCCCCTCTTTTTCTCTCCCACCTGTCAATATCCTCCCTTCCTCCTCTCTATTCTTTCCCATTTATGTTATATTTTTGTTTTATGTTGTATGTCAAATGCAAATATTTCATATCCTCCTCTCTATTCTTTCCCATTTATACACTCTATTCTTTTCCATTTATATTATATTTATGTTATATGTCAAAAGCAAAGATTTCATATCCATCTTTCATTTTTCCATTGATAAAACTAAACCTACTCCATAGGCCCTTTTTCTCTCTTTTTCTATCCTGAACTCTCTTCTTAGCCTATATTCTTTAAGAATTTTCTCTCTCGCACCTTCCCTCCCCGTGATTAATATTAAATTAAAACCTAACCTAGTGTATATCCCCTCTTACTCCCTTAATTCTCTTGTTCTATCTATTCTCGCTCTCCTTTTACTCCCTTAACTCTTGTTCGCTCTTTCACCCTTTTGACTCTCTTGTTCTATCTATTCTCTCTTTCTTCCTTAACTGTATGTTACTCCTTTAACTCTCTTGTTTTATCTGTTCTCAACGTAGGAATTTAGAATTTAGGGAGAGAAAAACTAAATAGGCATTTTCAGCTTTCAAATTTTATAAATAGCTATTTCAATTTTTTTATTTTTATCAATCTTAATTCAGATTTTATAAATAGGTATTTCAAACTTTTTATTTTTATCATTGTTAATTTGAACCTTTCAAAGTCTATGTGAATTCTAACCTTTCACAACTCTGGAAGGTTGAAAAATAAAAAATTGAATAAAAGATCTCTAGATGGCGAGGAGATGCAATGTGTCATTTACCATTACCTATTTCGACATGTGTCTACTCTTTAATTATATGGCAAGGAGATGCCAGGATTTTACTGTTACCTAATCTTTATTTCCATAAATCTTGTGCTTGTTTCTAAAACTGCTCGCGCCAATATTCTAGTAGTTATCTTGATTTATCTCGAATTCTTAATATAGCCATCTCTCCCCCTAATAGTTATCTCGATTTTATCCAACGATGCTCACCTTAACTCCTCACTTGCCCTACATTGTCTCTTCCTCACTTGCCCTACATTGTCTCTAGGAATAGGTTCCTTTTTTATTTTTTCGAGATGTGTCCACCCTTGAACTGTGGCTTAATAATGTTAGTATAGGTAGTTCTAGATGAACATCATAGAAGAACTTGTGTTTCTTGGTATCAGGAAATTAATCACTATTAAAAAGTAACAAGTGAAACTGCTAAGGGTATCTCCTAATAATTAATTGCAAACCCTTAATGAGAAGATTAAACGGATAAATCAGTTTCATCTGTTCTAGCTCCTACGAATTCTTTGACAAGTCCCTATGAATTCAATTCGATGTAGTAAACCTTTGCAAACAATGTATGCTATTCTATCAGAAACTTAGAGAGATGGAAGCTGTTATTGCATCCTTCAAAGGAATTCATAGATACTTAGAAGCCAATTTTCACTAGCTCATATAGACTCTAGATTCATCATATTTATCTGGTTACATGATGGTGAGTTGAATATAATAATCTAGGGCGGATAACTCCCCTGGAATAAGAATATGCATAGACTCTCTCAAAAAAAAAAGGGAAATTTGTCAAAATACGCCTAGGGGGTTAACTATTTAACATTTTACCCATATATTTTGATTTAATTTCTGAATGCCCATCAAATACACATATTTTTGATTGGAATAATAGAAATAAGTACAAAATGTTAAATAGTTGAAAGGTGAGATGTAATTTGATAAATTTTCCCCAAGAAAAAAAGAAAAAGAAAATAATATGTATATCTAGTTTGGCTTATCTGAATTTTGAATGCAATAAACTTCATTTGTTCTTATATAGGCCAAGGGTTTCACTGCAAAAAAAATAGTTTCACTTCATGTGGCCCTTGGCATCATGTTCGTTGGTGGCGTGAGTTATGGTATTTATGTCTCTGCTGACTTACTGACATCTCTTTAGCTAATTATTGGAATGCTACCCTGGAGAATCTCCATGCTGTTTACATGTTGTTATTATACATAATAAATATGCGGCATTGCTTTCCATCCTTCCCCTTTTGTCTCTTTATTTCCATTTCATGCACTTTTTAAGGAAGAATCGCATCTCACGAATGGGAAAATTTTTAGCGAAATACTATACTATTCTTATATTCATTGTGAATCAAAACAATGTCGTGTAAGTTTTTCTCCTAAATGTCTTTTTAATCTTATTAGGTTCCTAAGTGATTGTTTATTTTATCTTGTACTGTGCAGGAATATCTGGATGAATGTATCGGATCTAATACAAGAAGAAGAATTCTTTATCAAGTAAGAGACTTGATACCCTTTAACCAAACACAAGCTTGCGTGATAGCTATTTTTTTGAGAATGTTAATTGTTGCATGAGAGCTATTTGCCTTGTAGATAATGAGGTGCATGAGAGCTATTTGCCTTGTTAGTGAGGATTTCTATTTTTGAATGTTTATATGTCGAGGTTTTTCAATCTCTTGATTCACGAAGGATGTAATTAGTTTATATAATTTTGAAAGAAGTTTTTGAGGTAGCACAATGATAGAGGTTGGAGGATAACTTTGATAACTTTGGTGTGCGATCCTCTTTCACTTTTGGATACTTGCAATTTGGATTGTTATCCCAATCTAATATGTTTTGTTGGTGATTATAACATTTTTGTCATAATGCAGCATCAATACTGCCAATGTATTCATTTTCAGGAGAGCTGCATTAGTCATATACATCACCCTTGAAGAGTTACTAGTGTCATAGAAATGCATTATGCATGGTAATGTTGCTGTTTGCAATGTATTATATTTTTTATGCATGATCTGATAATAAACCTCAATAACTTTGCTTATACTTCATATTTCATAATATTATTGACATTTGATATGCAGAAAGCAATTGTCCTTTTCTCAAGATCAACCTCATAACTGAAATAAAATTCTGGTAATATTACCATACAGAATGAAACTTCTTTTACGGTAATATATCATATATGGGTAAGCCCAAATGCTTGCGCTGGCTTTATTTTACTCCTTGCCTCACCTCAAGCCAACTGGGATCTTGCTTGGCTTTGCTTTCAATGACATTGGTTGGAACTGTACGTCACCAGCCTCTTTTCTTTTTGGCTTTATAAAAGTCTTCTTCTGCCACTTGTCTTTGTATGCTTGTTTTAACCAAATTGAATATGCAGGAAGTTGAAATTTGTTAGTATTGTATGGCAGGCATTGCCTGCTCTGCTTGTGGGACTGCAAGTTGCCCTTAATCACTTATTGTGAAATCACGTTCAAGTCTCAAGAAATGCAATTTTATTGGAATTACTAATGTAAAGGAATGAATTAAAGAGAAGCAAAGTTTCCCAAACCTAAGTGATTTTATTATAGACTTCCCAAAATTAGAAAGATTTTCAGTCAGTCTTGAATATGTGCTTTAAATTATCTCTAAGCACATCAAACATTCACTACTTGGGAGTCCATACCTTACGGCTCTAGTAAACCTATATGGTATGATAGGGAATCTATGTCAGTTAATGATTCAATCACAGTTTGAAGGCCTTCTACGAGTTTATGTTAAAATTGGATATAACCATGCTATGTACTTGGAGGTGACATTTATCCATCCTAGGAGAGTTGATTGCACATAACTTATCTTAAAGTCGCATGCTTCACGCTAGTAATTCTTTCAGAAGAACCTTTAAGGATTGTAACAAATAAATTGCATAAGAAGTTATTGAAAAACTCCCCAATCTTTTATCCACACCAGTGCCTTAAGGAGGATTAATAAACATTTATGAAGCGTGGCCTCTAGCTCTTTATCAGATGTTTTCGATCATAGTAATGATATGCATTGATTGCAACACCTATGGGTTAGTTGAAACCTGTAGCTTTCGTTCCTAGTGTGATTCTATGATTGGCTTATAAGATTATTTGATGCACTTCTTGACAATCCAACTCTGCGTTATGGAAATCCTATGTCCACTCCTCACAATTTTCATTTCTTTTCCTTGGGAGAGCAGGGAAGCTGCCACTTCCGTTTTCATTTTCTTACACTATTTGGAAGCTGTGGGAAGTGGCAGCCTCCAAAACAATGTAGCACTTGCAGCTATCAAACATGGGAAGTGCTACAGTTTCGTGAGGACGTGGATTCCCATTATCAAACATGCGCAAAATTCCAATTGGTTTCTACCCTGCACTGCCTGCCTCAACAAATATTCTATGTTGGAGACTAATTTTTTCAGTGGTGCAAGAGATCTTTAGCATGGATTTTCCCAGAACGTATCTTTGGGAATTCCTGAAAGTGTATAAGGCATACCCAGGCCTCTAACATCTATGATAACCATGAACAGTTGAATGAAAAGAGCCAGGAAACTAGGCCATTGCAACTGGAGACCATTGAAAAGAGAAAAAAAATTGGGAACCACTTACTGGGTTTTAGAATTAGAAACTTAAGAGCATTCGTGTGACCAATGAAGCATCTGACCTCTGTGTTGGGTACACCAGGACGATGATTAGGCTCACGCATTCTCCCGTATCGCCTCCTCTCCTTGAATTGATTATAAGCTCCCCTTCTGATCCCTATATTATTCTGCTTTACAATGTCTTAATTCCTCTGCCTCCTTTCACCCCTTGTCTTTCGTGATTCACAAGTACTCTTCTCCTGTCTCATGCTTTGAATTTGACTCAAAGCTGCAAAGAGAGCCACCCCACCCTCTTATTGCTTCAAAAAATGAATTTATAGAATAATCTACTTTATGGGGGTTTCATTAACTCTGGTGTTGTCTTAATTAACCCCAATGGTTTTTTTTTGAGAAAGATGACTTATCTGAGCATTTCAACTTGTTAGCGTGCACCGAAACGGTGCCAAGAAGCAAAAGCCTGAAATACTGAACCTCTAGAGGGGAATTCAATGTGCATTATACAATGTTGGGATTTAGATGACATAATGAAGACTGCAGGGTGGAGAATTATTGGTTTAATGGAGTAGAAATGATGCTTACCATGATAACATATCATACGGCGCCAAGAAGCATTACTGTTTGTGAAATTTTTCAGTTGAGCAAAGGGAAGTCTTTGTGAGATGAAGTCTATATTGAATTCAATCTTCTTCTTCTTCTTTTTTTAAAAAGAAAACATGATCTTGAATTTCGAGTGGTCATTCATTACTGTGTTTATTAAAAAGAACTAAGCATCCTATATCCAATTGCAGATTGCAGGACATTGGTTTGCCTTACCAAATATATATATTTTTTTCATACATATGTATTAAGCCCATTTGGACACAAAATCTTGGTTAATTTCATCAGAAAGTGACACATTGAAAAATATCACACAAAATACCATTCAGGGTTTTAAACATGTTTAATGTACCTAACAAATGGCGCTTACCAATTTAAAACTTATTCTAGATGGTTATCTGATGCTGAATTTCCTGTTTCTGTTTTTCTGGCAGGAGTATGTTAAGGCTATCTCATCTACCGGTATGCAATCCAACCACGGGTTTGAAGGACAGGTAAATGCATGTTGGACTCACAAAATGACGTCCAAGGATTATGACGTGATCCGTTCCTCTGGATTGCTTATTTCTGTCATTCATGGGAGGTAGGGTATCCGAAATCTCAACACTTATTGAGAGTTTTTTTCCTAATCTTGTCCAATTTTTGAGCCATGCAACATTCATATCAAATTAGTTATAGTATTAGATGAGAATGTCTAAATGTTTGATAAATTAGTAGATGCCTTAGGCCTACTGGTACCGAACTGAAAAGGGTACACGAAAAATTCATACATCACCTCAATTTCTAGTATGTTTTGATTTTATGGTAGGTATGATGTTATTGCTCAAATAAATCATGCAAGGAGGATTGCACAGAAGTTGTACCCATCTGCAAGGATGGTAGAATTACATGGTGGCCATCTTGTGAGCCATGAAAGGCCTGATGAGGTACGCATGAATTTTGTGCAAACATTCTATAGAAAATCATAGGCATTTTGCTGTCCCTAGGCAGAATTAGTTTCTCCCAACAAATAAATTCTATTGAAAAAAAAAGAACTGAAGTCACGCATTGAAATTGGGACACTAGGAAACAACTTGAGTTAGTGAGTTAGTTGAAAATCGGGAAATCATATTGATGATTTTTTTATTTTTTTTAATTCTATGAAGAGGCCAATAAAATGATAATAAAATAATAAAAAGGATATAAAATTCTATTTCATTATATTTAACCTTACAAACATATATGAGCACATCATAGCTGCAAGCCTCCATTCAGGCAACACAAAGAACCAAACTGACTTTCAAATATACAATAAATTAAGAGAATATATACTTTGAGACTGCTTACATTTGTTACAAAGAGGTCACAATTAATCTTAGCCATTAGATGTCAAATTGAATGGTTTGGGGTGTGATACAAAGTTCGAGAAGTGTTTTTTTGAACTTTAAGTCTAGTTAATGATACAGTCACAACCACCTGATTTGATATATGAAGGACAAGTGATTACGACGTCGTTATATTAAATATAAATGGTCTCTTTGTATACTTTTTCATAAATTAATTATTGTTTGTGGCCATAGGTTATATCATTGGTTTTCCTCACATTTTGCAGGTCAATCAAGCTTTGATGGAGCTAATTGAGGCTTCAGAGACTAAGCTAGATGCACTTGAATGGTCCAATCTGCCTAACTATGGAACTGGTGAGCAATCCATTGTAGAAAATTCTCCAGCAATCTTCTATGTTTTTATGCATGAATTTTTTTAGGTGCTTTGATATCTAAAGCAAGATGGTTCTTTCTGATCAGGATCTCCAGAGCATCGAATATCACCTACTCTAGAGCTTAGCTTGTTGTACGTCATTGGATTATTAGTAATGTTTTTTCAACGCTCGCGAAGACTTCTTAGGAGTTTGGGGCTTCATTGACGGCATAAGGTGATTATCCTAGTTGGTGGAGAAAACCCTGTTGGGGAGATAACCCTACGTAAGAACCATATGATGATATACCCTTCTGTTGGGCTTAAATATCATGATACAGTTATGTCTCCTATGAGACTTCTAATGAAGTTGGGATAAGGATGATGTCTGGAACTATACTGCTAGGCCCAAATATCATGATAGAGTCTCCTATGAGACTTCTAATGAAGTTGGGATAAGGATGTCTGGAACTATGCTGCTAGTGATCCCTGCATGCGCAAGAGATGATGCACTGATCAAGATGAATCCAGCCATAGAAATGGAGATAAATTGTGATAAATAAGAGCGTTCACCAAGAATCAGTGCATTTCCTTTTGTTTACAAGTGTATCATTATATATCTTCTGTATAAGAAAAAAAATGTAATGTGAAGATAGATCCAATAATGGCTAGCCAAACGCTTGTTTATCATAATTAACTTTTTCTCTTCTCATAATTAACTTTTTCTCTTCTTCCAAGGATTTCTTGCTTTCATACTTTCTTTGATACTGCAAGTCACCCACTGTATAATAATATGAATGATAAGAGAGATTGTTCCATGAAAATTAAATACCCCAAAAGTACAGTTCAGGGCTCTAAGAGGTGATAATTCATATTCATGCCTCATGGATGATCTAGGAAAACAGCCTAGGCATAATTGGTTAGTGTTTGACAATTTGCAATGCTACGTCTTAAGGTCAATTCTTATAAAAGTTACATCTGAGGTTCAATTCCTACAAAGGGTAGTAGGGCCCTCGACCCAGCGACTCACTCAAAAAAATCTAAATTGGATGATCCGAGTTGTAGGTTCTCAGAGTTTTGCATCTGGGTTAATTTGAAAATGAAATAAAATTGAAATCATCTTGAATTTAGAATTCTATTGCATCTGGGTTAATTTGAAAATGAAATAAAATTGAAATCATCTTGAATTTAGAATTCTAAGCATAGAATGATGGAGAAAAAGCATACAGAGCCTGTAAACTTGACCTTTCGAGTATAAAATGAAGAGAGCTCCTTGCAAGTAGTAAATGCCAAATAGAGAGAAGGAAAGCAAAGGCACCCGACCTGGCTAAAGAGAAGAAGGAAGCAAAAACAAGGTAAGCAATTCACCTGTTTGGATCGAAAAACTACTCAATTTCCGAAAGGAAGACGAGGAATGTTAGAATTCCGAAACATGAAACCCTGGACATAGACGGACAATATTCGTGAGGAATATTCTAACATTCTCTAATGCTGAGGGGAGATACTATTGGTTAGTCAAGCATATTCCTTGGGGGTGTCAATGGAATAAAAGGCTTTAAGGCATGCAATTCGGATGTGACCACCGGATAACGGACCATAATGGCCCCGTCCTTATTTCTGACACTCGTTAAATTCCATCGTTGCGTCTTCTACACTTTTTAATTAAGGGTGTGGTTGCGTGTTCTATACTTTTTAATTAAGGGTGTCGTTTCCATTACGTTGCTGCCGCGTACCTCCAAATTTTTTCATCTAATTTTGGTGTAAAAAATATTTAAAAATTTATTTTTATGTTTAATTATAAAATTTTAAATTAATGGGCGGTCTAGATAATGTGTTGCAAGATGTATTATTTTTTGAGAGATTCAAAATCTTTTTTTTTTTTTTTTTTCTTATATTCATGTATCTTGATGGTGAGATAATCAATTAGAAGTATTTTCAACATTAATACAATATTTTATATTTTGCAACCTTATAAAAACTTTTTCCTCTAATTAAAGAGATTAAATACTTATTTTATAGGAAAAATATTTCCGTACACCCTGTTTTGGTGTACCATTTATTTATAGACCAGGGTTTTAAAAACTTTATGACGGTATAAATTTTGTAAAATGTTTATCTTTTAATCCCTAGGCTCAATTTACCTCTTTTGACTACTCATTGTTTGGTCCAAATAAAAACTAAAAAAAAAATAAACAATATAGAGAGAAATAAATATGTTGTATAGAGAGAGATTTAGTAGACAGATAGACGCATTTTTTAGTTTTTACTTAGGTAAAAAATGAGCAATAAAAAAAGATAAATTAATCCAAAGAGCTAGAAGATATAACTTTTGAAAAGCCTATGTTGCCAGAAAGTCTTTAAAATATTGGACTTACAGAAAATGGTACACCAAAACATGATGTTCATAGATATTTTCCCTATTTTATATACTATTAGTTTCGTTTGTATGAGCTACTATTAGAGGACAGATCCCTTTAGGCATACAAAATTTTATTTTTTTTAGGTGTTTCAAGATCGGTATTGGTGGGGTGGATGCTTTATCCCATAGGTCCATGTTGGAATATTGGATCCGCATTCCAAATCGGTGACCCAAAATATATTATAAAAATAAAAAAACCAAAATAGAAGTTAAGGTGAACATAAGAAAATATTAAGACGCCCGCATTTGTATAGAAACCATGTCCTTTTAAGAATAATAAAAAAGAAAAAATTATATAGAGCCGAGGTTTTAAACGAATCAAATTAGAGCCCGCCTCTTCACTAGAAGAGGTTGTTTTGATGTCCAAATATCCTCAACTTGATCATCTCGACATCAAGATGCATGGACATGAGAAAAAAATGGATTTCAAAATTTAAAAATAGTGCAACTTGTAACGTATTTTGGACCGTTAATTTTCAAGAATCTCAAGCTTTCATAGATCTGCTCGATCTACACTATTTTTGAAACTTTAAATTTTATAATTAAAGATGAAAATGTATTTTAGAGCTATCACAAAGATTTTCAATATTGAAACTATATTTCTCGACACTATTTGAAGGTAGGCTTTACTTTGATTGTTTAGAGCCACGGCTATAAACAAACTGCACCAATAATTAAAGGGTGGGGTTTGTATAGAACCTACCTTTAAATAGTAGCGAGAAATATAGTTTTAATATTGAAAATATTTGTGATAGCTTTAAAATATATTTTCATCTTTATTTAGAAAGTTTAAAACTTTAAAAATAGTGTAGATCGATAGGTCTATGAAAACTTTAAAATCTTGAAAATTGACCGTAAAAAAATGCGTTACAAAATACACTATTTCCAAACTTTGAAATCCATTTTTTTCTCGTCCATGCATCTTGACGTTGAAATGATCAATTTGAGCATCAAAACCACCTCTTCTAATGAAATTTTGAAGGTAGACTCAAATTTGATTGTTTAGAATTTCAGCTCTATATAAACTTTGCCCATAATTAAAATGAAGGGAAAATGTAAAAATAAAATATGCAATTTCTATAGGGGCTGCAGCCTCCTACACCGTTCATCTATTCGGACGGTGGAGATTTTTCAAACTACTGGATTTAGTCCAAAAAGGATTTAGTCGGGTACCCAAACCCGGACATCAAACGTGGTTACATTCCTGACCAACCCGACGCGGGAAAAGCTTCCCCCACTCCCAAAGATATCCCCCAAAAAATAGGCGACCTATTTTCTCTCTCTAGCTCAAGCGGCTTCACCTTCTCTCTCTACTCCACCACCTTCCCTCTCTGCCGCACTCTACTCGCCTCGCTTTCTTTCCACTCTGAATCCCTTGCTTATTCTCTCTCTACAGCTCACTATCGCCTCTCTCTCTCTCGAACAGCTCTCGCCATCAAGCTCTGCATCAAATTAAAGGTGCTCTCTCTCTCTCTCTCTCTTTCACTGTATTTCTGTCTTCATCTTCCTCTACGTCATTGCTAAGGATTAAGTATATGAAGTTTTCTCTACTTCTTGTTCTTCTGCTATTACTACTCTCTGTTTCATCCTTTCGGTGTTACGTTAGTTTGATTAATTGTTTTCGTTAATTGTGAATCTATCTTTCGTTTTTTTGGCCTATGGCTTTACTTTATTTTTGCATATTTCTTTCTGATGCGTCTTTCTGCAAAAAAATCGATCAAATTTTATTTTTCTGTTTGTAAATGTCAAAATTTATTGGTCAGGAGAGATATTATAGATGTTATGGGGTTTCTACTCTATGCTCCAGATTGTATGCATTTTTGTGCTTCTTACTGTTTATCTTATCTATTCGTTTGTTTGGATTTTGCTTTTTGTATAACTAAATGTGCTTTATTTTTATTTTTTATTTTTGCTACTCTGTCTTCGTAATTGTTAATTTTTAGTTTCTTTGATTTGAGTCTTTGCTTCATGTGGTGGATGCAAGCGATGACAGTTTCATTTTGTTCTTCAGTTTTTTTCTGTCCCTATTTCAAATGGAAATTGTGATTTTATCTCTCATGCTAAGAGGTATGAATAATAAAAAATATTGGAATCCAACCTAGATGCAAAAACCTTCTCTAAACTCCAAATGATGGGAGTTTGTCACATTTTAACATTTTTTTTGGTTTTGGTTTGAAGAATAAACATAGCAATATTGTTCAATATGAATCTATTGTCCTGTATATTCTATGAGATCATCTTTTTGCATAGTAGATTACGTCATAAGCTTAAGGATGGGCTACATGTTTTGTGATTTGATCCCTCCATTTGATTAGACCTACCATGGATTACACATGCTATCAAAACCTCGATTGAAAAAATATGACCATTTCATTGCTGATAAATTCCAGTGAGCGGTTGAAACTAGCTAATATCCAGATCTCTAGCTTTCGGAGTTCCCAGGTTTATTCAAACACAGGTTTCTAAAATCCCTAGGATTCCATACATGTTACCAAACGTTGTACTTTCAAAGCACTTTCCATCACCAAGTATACAAATTTACATCTTCCAAATTTCAAGCTATGTGTGTTTCTGGCTTCCAGTCATCAAACACACCCCAAGTACGTCTGTCTTTCTATCTGCTTAATCCAGTATACTTTTCCCTGTTAATTCTGTTTATTATTGTCAGGGTGTCCTCGCATAACTGTGGCATGAGATGAAAGTTTCACTTTTATCAGCACTTTTATATGTAATTCGTTATTTCTCTAAGAGGCTAATTGCCAATAACCCCTTTTTCCCTTTCACCCCTTTCTCTTTCTTCAAGAATAAAAGAAAGAAAGAAAGAAAAATACGCTATTTATTTGGGATTTTTTGGTAGATTTTACTTTGAAATTGTTTTCCATGTGAGTTTCTTGGCCTGTTATCCAGAAAGCTTATCAGTCATTAGAAAACTTCAGCTGTATACTAAATATATGTTATTTTTAGAGAGATGGGTGCCGTAGTTGTGAACACAGAAGGCCCTTCCATTGGTTCTACAGACCAGCCCCTCTCAGAGTGGCCATTCTCCTGGTAAGTTTTCCTCTCGTAGTTCTCCGCCTTAAATTTTCTTTTTATTTCTCAGAGGATATTCTTCTTTATTAGCTGTCATCAAGTACGCGTTTTACTTTTGGTGTCCAAACTTCATGACTTTATATCTCTTTTACGGCGTGTTTGATTGTTGGAAGAAGGGGTCTCCAAAATATGGAATTTTGTAAGGAAGGGGAAGGGGTGGCTTTACTCCCCGTCGGAAAGCTGCGAGTTCCACTCTGTGGCTTCCTGCAGAGAATAATCAAATGCAGGAGGGAGATTTGGTGGAACTTGGGTCTCCTGCTCTCAAAAAGTTTCACCATTAAATTTTTGGGTTCCCCAATTGTTAGAAAAATTGCATTATTTCAGACAAGAGAATTAATGTCTTAGTTGATGAGTAGTACATTAAGGAAATGAGGGTAGAATTGATGAGCTGCAGACACTGTTATGTGATGTCTTTACTCTCCCAAAATTCAATCTGCTTTGTACCTTATATATCGAATTGCAGTCTTTAATCTTTCCAATGTGTTTTTTGCAGTGACTTGGAAGTGGATTGCGGCTCAGTGGAAAATGCCTCTATGATCTTTAGAGCTTTAGATGTTGATAAGGAGGTAATACATTAAATGGAATGCTTCCATGTTGCATATTCCGCCTTTATGGTTATTTTTTGGGCTCTCATTCTTAGTTTTAAATTGAGTTGTAGTCTTGTGATTGTCAAAATGCCCATATCCTTTTCATTTTAGACCACAAAAAGAAATTGGGGGCACTAGGAGAAACCTAAAATGATCTGGCTTATCAAGAAACAGGTATGTAGTTGGATTATCATGTGCAGTGTATTTATATAGGGGAAAAAAATTGCACTATCTCATGGTAAGAAAAATGACTCTACGCACACTACCTCCCACATGCGCACATGCAACATCCGAAAAAACAGAGAATTTCATCCCTATGTTTAATTTTGGTAGACTTGTTCTATTTGGGAGAACTGATTTGTCAATTTTGGAAGCACTCAATCTTCTCCATGTCTTTTTGTATACGTGTAGATTTTTGACGGTCAATATCAGGAATATTCTTTAATAAGATTCACCGAAACTCATTTAATCCTTTTGCAAGAGTTATGCCTTTCCTTTATCTATTGGTCGTACCCTATTTGGGTCGGTTATTTCCAGATTCAAGTTTTCAATCCATCTCTCATTTCCTTTTTTTGTTTTTTGTTTTTTCTCATCTCACCTCTTTACTTTCTCCCTTATACTGATAGTTGGGATTGAGTAGGTGTTAGTTTTTCTTGCTTCCAGTCTTTGAGCAGCCTTGTGTATTTTACAGATAACTTAATTCCTTGAAACATTCGATTTTTCTTTGGTGAATGTGATTGATGTCCAGCGCTTGGTCTCTATTTTATTACATCAAGTGGTACTTATCTGTAAGTTGAATTTTGAATCATTTTCTTCACCCTCAGATTTTTGTTTCATGCACACTTGCAATTCCATGATTTCCATCCAAATTCCCATTGAACCATTCATAGTGGTACTTCATTGTCCTATTTTGTTGATTCTTGCTGTTTGCTTGTGATAAATTAGTTGTTTCTCAACTCCTATTTGGTATTACATACTAGAGACTTCTTTTAGTGCATTACATGGTAGTGATCAATAACATGTCAGTGACCAAATAAATCAGAGAGCGCCAGTTGAAGGACAATTGTGGTATTTATATTCATGACACAGGCAATCCTTGAATGTATCCATTTTGAAGGATCTTTGGCACATGTAGCCTATGATAGTACAGAAATACCCACTGAATAATTGATATTATTGGAACCATTTTTTTTGTGCTGATGAATAGTTTGCAATCTCAGTTGTTGTTACTCATGGGATGAACAAGAGATGTTAGTTTTGCTGAATGCAGGCATTCCTATATGCATGTATGTAAAAAGATATTGATCTATTCCATTCTGCTGATCAGTGTTTTATGTTTATGAGAATTTGTTGCTTTTGCTGATTAGCATTTGTTGTTTCTAATGTGTTTTTTTATTCTATTAAATAATCTGTCATGAGTTTTGATTTGTTAATTCAACTTCTTGCACGGATGACACTATTGAGTCTATTTTTGTAGATAATTATACAAGGGTGTGGTTTGTATAAGGTTGCAACCTTAAACAATCCAAGTAAGGTGCACCTCCAAATTTTGTCTTGCACCAAAATTCTTTGTATGGCCTTATAATCCATATTCATCTCTAATTAGGAATTTTAAACTCCAAAAATAGTTCAAATCAAGTAGATCTATAAACACATGAGAATATTGAAAATTGATGGTCTAGCGAATGTATTGTAAGATGTATTGCTTTTGGTACTTGAAATTTTTATTTTTTTAACATATTCATACATCTCGGTATTGAGATGATCAATTGGAGGGCTGTCCAACATCAAAACAACCTTTTCTGATGGATTTTTAAGGTACACCTTAATTTTACATTTAAAGGTTGCCGCGTTATGTAACTTATTCCATTATACAATGTGGCAAGTATCTTCAATGGAGTTAATTTGATCAGAATTATTGTTTTTGGATCTTCTTCTGTTTCTTTTAATAAACTGTTAGGCTTTTTAGCCATCCATGTTGATTGATTAAACCTTTGGTTGGTTATCTCATTTTGCATTGCTTCATGTAATCATGTTACAGTTGCAGCCTGGTAAAGTGAAGAGGCAGATGTTGTTGTCTGATGGAAGGCTTTCAGTGTGAGTGACTTAATTAATAGAACATATGATAACAGTTATCTTTTCCTTTTTCCTATTTGAGGCAATTTTATTGTTGAATCCCCCTGCGTTATGCAAGCTAGATTGTGTCTTTTTTTCTCTTTTTTTTTAGCCTTTGTATGAAATGTTCGTATTCTTATCTGGCTTCAACTATCATAGTAATCTCCTTATAAAATCCCTAGTTTTGTGGTCTACTTGCTAAACCTTATTTCTTCTCTTCTTCTTGACTCAGCCATTTTGAGGCAGTGGAAGCCAGATTTCTCCGTGCATCATTCAGTGCATTTGTTGATATCCTGACACTTGCCGCAAAGCTTATTGAAGAATTTGGTCCAAAGGAGGGATCAAGATCATGACTTAAATATGATCAGCCATTTACAGAAGCGGGCAATCATTGCTCTTGCTTCCAGTTCCTTGCATGCACAAAGCTCTCAAGTATAAACAAAGAAATCACTTCTCAAGACTGTTGGCATTATTTGCATGGTCAAGTCAACATTAATTGTTTGTTCATCTTGGAATCTAATTTAAGAGTATGTTGTTACTGTGAATGATTTTTATCACATTATTCCCAAGAATCGCCCCTTGGGTTGCCTTTCACTAGTTTGGAGGTACTTATGTTCATTGTGATCCAATAACATGATTATCTCAAATGTAAATTACAAGATTTTGAAACTCATCCATGTGTTGTGTAGCGTGTCTACCTGGTAAAACCAAGTGAGCCAAAAAGGCCCTATGGAAAAGAAAGAAAATACATTGAAGCCTTCCATGTTGCTTGTACACATCCAAGTCATCGTTTACATTATCTCATGTGAAAGCAGGCGTACCCACCTTCTATTTTCCTCTTTAACAGTTTTTTCCTCTACAAATTCCTGTGCTCATCAGCTCTTAAGCCAAAGGGACTTCCAACTGTGATTCTCTAACTGCCCAGTAATATTTTTTGCTTGCTGCTCGGGGTAAAAATTGGTGAGCACCTAAAAGTAACCAAGTCTGGACAATTAGCAAACCAAAGAGCTGAGGCCGAATGAATCTCTAGTGGTTGGTTGCGATGCATTGAGCTTGGTTGTGTAAAGATGTAGAGAGTGTTTATCAAGTAGAGAGAGGTTGCCTGTGCTTGACTGATCTGCCCCTGCTGAGCAGAGCTCTAAGAAATCGTTTGCTTCTTCCCCTATTGTGTTCAACCTCTCTTTCTTCTTCCATATCACCATAAAATCTCATGGAAGCTGACTTCTGAGGTTCCAAAGGAAACTACAAGTGCAAGCAAAACAAACCACTTTCTGTTGTGAGTCCTCCCATTAACATAAAAATTACTTGAGTTTGAGAATAGTCACTTTGAACAAACTCGAATAAAATGTAAAGCTCAAAACATGGCTACAAAGATCTGAAACAGATTAAGAAACCATGTACAAAAAGTTCCCAGTTAATACCAGTCTTTTACAATTATAGTCAGTTATAAAATTCTAGTCACCTATTCTAAAAAAAATACCAGTTTTTTACAACCCTTCTCACTCACAAATCTGACTTTTGAAGTGATGCGTCTTTATGTCATTGCAGTATGTGGGAATGGTTGATGAAAAGTTATATTATTGGTTAGGGGTACTCTAGTTGCGGATTTTTTGCTAGAAACACAAGTCCACTACAATTTTCTCTCATCAAATATGACTTCAAGAAGAGATCGGTTTTATATTGCATATCGGTACCTAAGACTGATCTATTTGATCAATTTAATTATTCAAACTTGTGTTTTGCTAAACATTTTTTGGGCTCTGAAAGGGCCCGAAATAAAGAACAGAAAAGGAAAAAAAGTATTATGTATGTATGAGATGTGTATATGTACCCTCCTCCCCGAACTGAAGGGGCTCGCATTGATGGTTGTCCGATGAGCAAGTGATCCACTACGAACAAGAGCACGTGACGCAGAGAATGGCGAGATTGGTCCTTCACTTTCTGATCCACAAACCATTCACAATACACAAAATATTTATTAATGAGCCCCCTTAAGTTTTAATACAGCAGCTAGAAAATGATGTATGGTTGGGAAATGATCACAAAAGTTCCTAAGTCATGCAGGTGCTCTAGAAACTTAGAATCTCATAAAATTACAAAGATTGAACACCTATCTTGTAAATGGCTATTTTGGCCCCTCTGGTAGTAGGACAAACCAGGACCTTTTAGTAAAATGACAGACGGTGCAAAAGTCATTGGTAGAAATGACCAATCTAAGCTTTGTTTTAAAATTCCAAGTTCATGGGGAAATGTAGGTGTCCCAGAAACTAGATTGATATTTTTCATTACTGAAACATGCATCTTATTAGTTGAGAAGAGTGAAATCTTTTTATTTGCATGATGATTACCTGTGAAGTAAAAGCCTTGAGGTCTTGGTGAAGGAGACAATGAATGCGTCTTCCTGAAATGGATTCCACCAACCCAAACTAAAGTAATTTAACTTACAAAGCTAACTTTGAAAGAAAGGAAACTACTGCCTCTTTACTAGGTTTCATGGGAATTTGGTTGAAGAAAAGCATCATGCTTCTTGGAGCGCATATCGTTACTTACCTCCTTGAAGAAGAGGATTTCTCTCGCCTCTTCATGCTAGCTGCCACAGCAACAAAACACACGTTAATATGAGAACTTCCGCTGTGCTCAAGTATTGTTCCAAGAATTCCACAAAAGCTCTTGGATGCATATGAATGAAAAATTATATACCGGCATGAATAATTTGCCTGTCATGATTGTCAAGCTCTCTGTCAAATTCTTGATAGGGTTTAGCGACTTTAGCTCCACCTCCAGAGTTACTTAGATTTCCTGCCAAACCCAAATAAAATGAGAAAGGGAGGCTCAAGGACAATTGGCCAAGTTCATATCTTTATGGCTAGACTATGGAGTGACCATAAGATGTAAACCCATTGTTTCTCTCTCTTTAGAAACCTGGGGTTGGTTCAGAAAGCTTACCTTTTAGCATGTATCGTTTGTGGTATTTGGGAGCTGTAATGGTGATAGACTGTTCACCAAGGCCTTCATGATCCATATATTCTTGACACATCCGCACCCTCTATAATTGACAGTAAAAGTCAGATTTCTCGATCTGTTTTAAAATTATTAATTTTACAGGAAGATATAAGGTAGAGGTTCTCTATTCTGATCATTGTTGTCAACTGTAGCTGAATCATTTCATGTGGCCTGCATCGCATCGAGGGACCCTGCATATGCAGGATTTGGTGATGTGCTTGCATATGCAGGTGCATTGCCCGCATATGTGGCCTATTGCTCTTGGGCAAAGTTATGCCCATGAGCATCCTGCCCCCCGCTGGCGCTCTTCCCGCCCGTCTATCTGCATGGAAAATGAGGGGGAAAGGTTCTCTTCTTTTGGTGGGGCAGGAGGGTTATATACCCCAACAAAAACCTGTTAGAATCAATTTTGCATGGTTTTAAGGGGTTTTAGACTTAGATATGGAAATCATTTTTTCTTGAATCCAAAGTTTCCAAAAAAAAATTCAGGGCTTTTGTGGGCATGCATTCAAGAGTCTTTTGGGTATTGTTTTAAAGGTTTTCAGAGGAGAATTAACTGCGCGTGACTCATGTGATTGAGAGTCAGACATAAAGTGTGTTCAGTATATTTTCTATTTTATATGTCATGAACTTTTGGTATTTGGACCTTTAGACTTTGGAGGTCAGAAGCTAATATGTACCGGTGCATTGTGATAATGAAGTAATTTTGGGTGTTACCTCATGGGTCATGACTCGTGACTATTTAATTTAATGAATGTGATGGAATGGAGTACTCTATTTTACATGTTAATCATATTAGCCTCTTAGAGAATAATAGAGAACAAATTATTTTACTGTTTATCATGTTATATGGTGACTCAAACAACTAATATATTAAAGATAAATACTTAAATGCCTACCATCACATAAATCATATATATTTAAGTTTTTTATGCATTCTTATATATTTTAAATTTTTACAGATTTTTTAGGTTTGATTGACCACATGGGAGGTGATGTGCGTGCATTATACCATAGAAAACCACCTCATGGACTCTGCATCCCCCATTTGATAACACTTCTTCTGATTACTTGATTAGATTCATGCATTCTACTGGAAGATGCACTAATAAGTCCCCCAGTCTGATTAAGACATATTAGCTTGAAGTTCTCAATTTCTAAATTGATACAACCCATTCTAATCAGAGAGATAGAGAGATAGAGAGACCTGCTCCATGCATCCAATTCGGAACTCTGTTTCTGAAACCTCTTCGACCTTTTCGTTGAGGAGGCCGTTGACCCTGTAGCTTACTGAACCCAAGTGGTCTACTGTGTTAACAAGGGCTCTAACAGCAAAATCCTTCAAGGTGTCCACCACCCTGCAGATTTCAAGTCACAAAAAACAAACCATAAGCATGAGTATTTCTTGAAGAAAATATGAAGCCAAATCTGATCAATTCGATCAACTCAAGGCTCACGTTTGTTTGTGATTGTCATTGGTGTAAGAGAGTTCAAAGTGTTCTGCAGCAGAGTACAGTTGCGCCCTTAGGTTCTTCAAATCCTGTAAAAGCCAATAAGCAGTCTATGAACTCTTTTTCCTTTTGTTTTTTGTTTTTTTTGGCTTTTGATTTAAAAGCAATAAGTAAACAAGATATCAAAGTCCATTCACCGCCAGACAATTGCAATCACTAGGGGATGTTACAAACTAGCAAACATTGATGTTAATTCAAGAATTCAATGAATAATCATAATAACATACTCAATAAACAAAGCATCCTTCAGGAAAAAGAAAATCTTTTAAGGTTTTATCAGAATTTGCTTTTGTTAACCAGAAAAGTCAATAAGTTCTCTACAGATAAAAAGTTCTTTTCCATAATACATATTGTTTGACATCATTGTAGATTTGCAGAGAGAGAGAGAGAGAGAGAGAGAGAGAGAGAGAGAGAGAGAGAGAGAGAGAGAGAGAGAGAGAGAGAGAGAGAGTAGAGAGTAGTAGTACGTAGTACGTAGTACGTAGTACGTAGTAGTAACGTAGTAACGTACGTAACGTACGTAACGTACGTACGTACG